TCTCAGCAACCCTTTACCCCCCCCCCTTGTAGCTCTTGTATTACAGCATGCAATAATTATGATGACGAGTATAAAACAAAATACAATTACTTTACTTTCAACCAATCCATTGTTGCTTTGTACGCAGTCTACCGACTTAACTAAATTCTGATAATGAAATATGCCAATAAATAAATAAATACTAAAATATGAGAAAATGCTATTTTTTCATTTATCAATGGTGAGTAAAAAAAAGTGTGATTTGCGGCGCCTGGTGCACAATTGTACCTTTTTTGTGCAACTCTCCTTTATGGTGATTTTGCAATATTTTTTGAAAAAAAAATGTGCAAATAAGTTGTTTCTATCGAAATCTAAAATTTTAAAAAGATTGAATCACAGAATCTCAGAAAATTTGCAAAATTTTAATTAGAAAATTCGCAAATTTCAGTTCTGGTATAATTTTTACGGAAAAATTGTTTTTCAATGGTTCTTAAGGTTTCACCTGAACAGAGTATATTTAATACTTTAGAATATACTAAGAAGAAAGAAACTAGAAAATTTAAATAACTTTACCTTAAAAATTAGACCAGAAATAAAAATTGCGAATTTACTTTTTACAATTTTGCGAATTTTCTCTGTTTCTTTGATTCAATCAGGCGCCGCAAATCACTCTTTTTTTTTGACTCACCCTGTATATATGTGTATTGAATGCATAACTTTTTATTGGCTACATAATGTTTTTTGGACAACTTTGGGATTTTTTTATTTGTACGTTGTCCGGATTTTCTAAAAAATGGTTTTTAAATTGAAAGAAAAATCTCCATCTCTTTAATGATTCTTGCGTAAAATTTTGCGTCGTGAATCGTTTATGACACTGTATAGTGTATGTTAATTTAAAATGAGTAAAAAAAACTTGACTGACACTCCCAACTCCCTTACTTGTAATAATAAGCATCTTCTAAGTGAATAAGTTACATGATTTTAACCTAATAGGACAGATATTAATGTTCACTGGTGTACAGTGTACAATGTACACAACAAACCTCACTTAGTTATAGCTTGGTTTCTGCTGTGCAGTAAGCACAGTATATTGACTATTGAGTGATACACATGATTAACAACAAATTAGGACCAACCCAACTTTAACTTTCCCCCTTTACTTCTCCCTCTTGTAACCTTTTTCCCTTTCCCTCCTTTTTCTTTTCCCACTTTTCATTTCCCTTATCTTTAACTCACCTCCCTCTTCTCCTCCCTACCTTCTCCTTCCCTTGTGCATTTCCTTCCTACCTGCCCCCTTCCCTTTCCCCATTTCTTTACCCTCTTTTCCTTTCCCCGGGGCCCTGTCCTGGGTAGCAGCTCCGTGAAAATAAAATTACAAATCAAATTTTTGTCGCCATTTCTAAAAGCCCCGACCCTAGTCCTTTAAGCGGCACATCTCCTAAACAATATATAGATATGTATTATAATAGATTGCGCATAAGACGACATTTTTCATCTTGAAAGATATGAATGTACAGAGATCTTTTAAAGATATTCCTATTATATATAGACCAACTAGGTCGGTTGTGAACATTGGCTGTTTTTATGTCATTGAGTACTTGTGGTGTACATGAGTTCTGTAGAGTGAAATTTAAGTTAGTTTAGTCCATTTTCAGTTCTCGTCAATATGATATATTGCTCAGTGAAATGTTGTTGTTCAAATAGTTCCCTTCCCGGAGTTATTTTACACTCTATTATGAAATCCATTAAAACAACAAACCACCCCGCTTATCATTGAAGTTCACTTTGACCCCTAGAAGTATGAGTTCGCGGACTGTACAATTCTTGGTGATTTTGCGTACATAAGCTATCTATGTTTATATATTTATCTATGATCATAATATTACCTATTCTAGGTGAAGATGGTGGAGGGGGGGGAGGAGAAGGTGGAGAAGGTGGAGGAGGAGGAGGAGGGATGAGTATGTGGGATGAAATTAACTCTAGTATGGAGAAATTAGATCCAATTCACATTCAGGTAACAGAAAATGTATACTTCACAAAATCACAAACCTAGGTGTTGAAGGTTTTTAATGTGAAGTTTCTGTCTAAATGTTTAACATTTTTGTTTGCAATAATAAACGACCCAAAGTATTTCAAAACACACTTTTATATCACTAACATTCTGTTCTTAACATCGAAATACTTTTGGTCAAAATGAATTGAGTCTTAACCACAGCGTCTGATTTTGTAATCTCTAAATCTCTAAATCTCTAAATTTTGAATTAAGTTGAAACAAATAGTTCAAGTTTAAATATCAAATGTTTACACTATCAGGTTGCAAAGATATTAGGATTAGAAAATCTGAGTTTGTGGCAACGACTCAATTTCTTAGTGGGAAGTAATGCCTCATTACTAGCAATTTTAGGCATTTTAAAACTTTTCTGGAATTCCAAGAATTCCTGGATTTAGAATGCTGTATTTTTGTAATTAGACTTTAAAATCGTGTAATTACTTGTTTCTGGTCAAAGAGCGATTTACACATTACTATGCATTTTGCATATTGGACACATAGACACACATTATTCTAATGAAAATCTCTTTCTTGATACAATTTGATAAAAAATTACCCAAGGTCAGACCAAGAAAAGGTCATACAATTGACCGCTTTAAAATTTTCACATAGATCCTGACTGGTCTACAAAATTGCATCGATGCTCAAGACTGGGTCGGCTTTAACTTGTCGTAATGTCTTAGCCTTCTCTTTTTTACTTTTTGTAGCCCTATACATTTGCATTTTAGACAATAAAGGAATTAGACTATAAAGTAATTGGCAAAATTGTCATAAACTTTTGCACGAGAGCTTGCAACCTTTAGATCAGACTAAATTTGAAATCCGTTGAAAATAGCGTAAAGGACTTTATACTTTTATTTATTTCACATTTGAAATATGAGGCCCAACAAAAAAGTATAAAATATCAAATACTATAAATCTTAATCTAAAAATAGGTCCCTTTATAGAAAACCCACAATTGAAAGAAAAATGAATATTCCTTTAAAAAATAAGTTCGCGTTTATCCTTGCTCAGGGTTAAAAGGTACAGTTGTAAATCGGACACACCGCGCTGTAAATAAAGGTCATTTGAAATTACGTCCATTTTAACGTTTTTTTGTTCTATTTCAGGACTACAACGAAAGACTGCAGGACTGCCAGGATCTGATAAAGACAGAACCTCACAACAATAAAGACGAATTCTCTTGTCCTGAGGACGGATACTCCCAGCATAGGACGGAATTTCACCAACACAAGGACGATTTTGTCTCCCTGGTGAATGATAGCATAGGATACTGCTATGATACTAGTGGACTAGGATCTCTAGAGGATCAGGGTCAGCTAGGAGATCATGTTCAACTTGCTCCGCTCAATCCTGATCCCCTTGACACCTATACTTATACAATAAACTATACTCAGGCGTACAGACCGGATCCGTACACTATACAACACAGTGTACAGAGTGTACATAGTGATTTAGTATCCCGAGATACTCCACCACCTCCTTATACATCCTTCTCCTCACCTTCACCCTGTTCATCCTCATCTTCATCCTCACTATCTCCGCAGGAAATATCTTCTCCAGTTAAATATAACAGGTCAGCATCTTTAAATATAAAGTTGTATTTGTTGCTTATTTTTTTGTTTGTCCGATCATAACTCAGGAAACTCTGGACTGATTTGCCTCAAATTTTGATTGGGGAACTCGGGAGACCCACGGGAATGTTATTAGTCTGGTTTTGAGATTCTAGATTGAGTAGATCGACTTTTAACAGGAAAATAGCTGAACTTTTAATTTTTGACCAAGCGCGGGTAAGCGGCGGGAGTAACTTTGAGTAATCTGGGCAACGCTGGGTTCCCAACGCTGGGTTAAATATCACTGGTCTCAACTCAGTGTGCAATAATTTATCACTTTTTTATAAAGAATATTCGATGCANCCACCCATGGTAATTAAATTAGCAAGCTTTTACTTTGGAATTAGAGCCCATTTTCTCAGCTTTCAAAGGGAGTATTCGCGAAATATGAAAGGTGGTTTCGGCTTACGTCGAAAAAAATCTTACTTCCATCTGTTGGATCTATAGTGTCCATACAAAATCAGAAAGTTGCAATATTCGAATCAGATCGTAAAAAAAATCAATTTAATTCCAAACAATTCATTCAGACAGCCTTTAATCATCGATTTTTATTCGACGTATTCGTAAATAGTTGATATTTCATGATATTTTTCATTTGTTTGTATGATGCAATTTAAGCGAAGATTAGTTGGCCGCCAGGTGTCTCTCCTCGATTATTCTGCATGGTTCCAGGTAGGAGAGACACAAAAAATCATCGTTTTATGTTGCATGGTATATAAAACAAATAAAAAATATTATGAAGTATCAACTATATAAGAATGCATCTAAAAAATATTCGATGATTATAGGTTGTAGTATCTGAATGATTTGTTTGGAATTATTCAATTATTTACGATCTGAGTCGAAACTTGCAAATTTGTGAATTTGTATGGACGCTACGTTCTTTGGTATTTGTCTTGTTTAACCATTTTCTCCTCATAGACGCGACAGATAGAAGTAAGATTAGTAGTGATCACCATTGAATACTTTTCAACTTAAGCCTATACCCCCTTTCATTTTTCGCGAACACTCCCTTTAAGATGATCTTTTTTATTTGATAGTTCACACTTTTATGGTGGCTTATATATTCTAAATAATAAAGTTTGGCCGATCTTGAATTTGTTTTTTATAAATTTTACGTGCCCCCCCTCCCCCTCCCTTCTTCATTGTCCACTTTGAACGGTTTTGCTGATGTCTTCATTCATTGATTGAATATTTGAGCGCCAATTCCTGGAATTATTGATGATCAACTCGACTTGAAGTTTTCTCAGATCATTCCTGCAATTTATTTAGTATTTTCCAGAGGAAAATTTGACAGTTTTTTAAAGGGATTGTTCACATTTTAAAAGTTTGAACGACTCTTAGAGAAACTGTCGTCGACATTTTAAGTGACCCACCATTTAAATAAGGGCCTGAAATGTGGTTAGTTCTGACAATTTCTCCACTACTTCGGATGCAAGAAAATCACTTTTGTAGAGAAACCACAAATGTAAATGAACAGTTTTTAAAGACAAAAACATTAATTTCAAATTCATTCTTGATCTCGACAAAGTTTTTAAGAGTATTGTTGTGAATTGTTTATCCACTGGGTCACTTGAAATTAGATTTACTATTGGTTTATTATATTTTGTTGAACAATGAGATAAATTTCGGACACATAATTGCTTTTCTGTGAAAATATTCTATAAAAAAAAGATATCTTGATAATAAACTTAAATAAAGGGTTTAAACGCGCGGCTAGGGAATCAATTAAGGTACTCATTAACAAGTAACTCAACTTAAAACTTCGCGTTTTTATCCTTTTTTCAAATGAAAAGATACTTGTTGTAAATTGTGATTGTAAATTATTATTATAAAGATGATATATTAAAGGTGAAGTTGAAGTTTTTGAAGAAGATTAATAACAATTAAAATGACAGTATTGAGAACAAAATTTGACTTCTTTTTATGCAAAAGATATTTATAAAAAATATCTTTTTTCTTTTTTAGAATATCTAATGAGGAAGCGTGTATTTTGTATAATTTATATATGTTCATAAATATATATAAATATATATATAAATATTGTATATACAATATGTATGAATCTAATATGCATATTTCCCATGTATCCCCTGATTTATGAGTAGATGACTCAAGCAATTAATTAAAACCATTCTCTGCGATGAGTTTGCATACTTTATTTTCCTCAATACCAATTTGTAAACTCAACCCGACATTTTTAAATTCAAAAAAGTCTGGCGGCATGTGTTCAATTTCCATAGAATTTTGCCAACTACACCAAAAAAGAATGTTTATTTATGTTGAAAACAAAACAAAAGCATATAATTTTGTCGGAATGATTTATAGTAATTTTAAAATCTCTTCAAACTTTGCTTGATTAATTGTTCGATAATAAAAATGTCTGTTGTTTATAAACTTTAATTTCACATGAAAGTAAAAAAGATTTTTTTGGTTGCAATAGAAAAAGATTTAATAGAAGGTTAAATTTAATGTGAATAAACCTTATTACAAGAACTTTAACCGAAATTTTAAGTGACCCTTCATGCTAAGATGGCAATGTCCGATTTACAACGGTACTCCTGAAACCTTTATCTGATTAATAGTGTGGAAGATATTGTCGTTTTTCTAGGTTTAAAACTGTAAAAATGTGCAAGTCATTTTTGCAGAGAAACCACAATTAAAATAATCAGTTACAATCATTGATATCTGACTTAACCTTGAAAGGGTATCGTTGTGAATCGGGCATTGCCATCTTTGCATGAAGCTCTAAAGCAGTCCCTTTTACTCTTCAAATTAGTGGTTTTTTTTAGATCCTTATCTTAGAATATGATTCTTATTTTCAATTTATTATTAATATCCATCACGATGTTTTCCAAAATATGTTACAACAAACTTGACACTTTGGAGCTAAATCATAAATATTCATGCGTCAATTTGGTTCACGCATAAATATGCGTTCCCAAGACAAGCCCAGGGCGAAACTAACGCATAAAAAATGGACTAGAAAATATTGTTAATTTTGACGCAGGTTTAAATTAATATGCGTAAAATTTTGAAACCTGTGTTACGTACAAATTGTTTAAAGCGCAGGGTCTGAAACTGAAATGTAAAGTTGTAAAACCAAATTAGGAATCTAAGAATCTAAAATTAGGTTTTTTTTCTTCATAAATTTAACCCGAATAAGGTTACATCAAGTGGGTGGATCGGGGGGAGGAGGCCTGGGGGAATCTGACGATATTTGTAGGATTTTTTTTTTTTGTACTTTTAATTATTTCTTGATTGCTTATCCTTTTTTGTTTGATTTATTTGATTATTTGATCGCTGATTAATCGAAAATTGCATTGATTACATAGCCTATATATCTTCTTCTTATAGTTAAATATAGCGATAGGCAAGTATATCCATACAATGAGGACGACTTTTTATTTTAGTTTTGATTGGTAACATATCTCTATTTGAATTAAAAGTTTACAAGTAATCAAAGAAAAGCTTTTTTAATTGACAGCTTCTCTTGACCTCATTGTGTTGATATAATCGCTTACCACTGTATTTATAAAGATATATATAATAACTATATCATAATTATCAATAGTTAGATTTATTTATTGTAAATGTACTTAATAATTATTTGATTAATTGCTGTGATGTTTATTTATTTATATTTGATTGATCGGAAAGCCATCAATTCCCCGATTTATTAATTGATCGCTTAGAAGAAATTAAATATTCCCTGATTCATTAGCTGATTGCCTAGAAGGAATTAAATATTACCCGATTCAATAACTGATTGCCTAGAAGGAATTAAATATTCCCCGATTCATTAGCTGATTGCCTAAAAGGAATTAAATATTACCCGATTCAATAACTGATTGCCTAGAAGGAATTAAATATTCCCCGATTGATTAATTGATTGCCTAGAAGGAATTAAATATTCCCCGTTTGATTAATTGATTGCCTAGAAGGAATTAAATATTCCCCGATTGACTAATTGATTGCCTAGAAGGAATAACCCTGAGCTGGAGAAGAGAAGAACCCACCACTGTGACTACCCAGCCTGTAATAAAGTTTATACGAAGAGTTCACATCTTAAAGCTCATCAGAGAATTCATACAGGTAAATCATTGAAATGAAAACCTTCACAGAAACATCGGATATAAAAATTGTATAAATCGATTCATTTGTCTTGTATTAGCATTTCCTTTAAAGGGACTGTCAAAGTAATTTGAGTTGAACTCTACAACACTTGGAATGATTTACATCGCTACCCAATGAACTGTTATTGAGCAACAATGTAGCCGAGATGATCAACCGGACAATTACATTTCTTTTCTCTGTCGCAACCTTAATTTATGAATATTAATTTTCAGAGAGAAAAAAAAATTTGTCATTTTTGCTCTGACGAAGGTTTTGAGGGTAGCTATTGTGAATCGGGCATGCCCTTCTCAAAATTACATTCACAGTCCCTTTGAGAAAGAAACCAAAATCTCAGCAAACTTCCTTTTTTCCCTGCGAGACATTTGTCTGAATATTTGCAGTACGTTAACTACAACACAATAGCAGTACAATAAAAGGAGTAGATTTTACAAAGCTAAAATGTTTTCTGCTTCAAAATATTTCTCAGGTTTAGAATTGCATATTGCACAAAGATGACACTGAAAGTGGTTTGACTGTACACTGGGATACTTATTATCAGATTGCGGCGCACCCTGGTATTTCTGCCTTTACAGCATGGAAAATTAAAACAGTCTTGCAGATTCTAAATGCTAAAAACATATATCTGCAGCTAATATATAGTAAGACTCTGAACACTGACAATTCTTTAACTTTGTAACAAGTAATCGTTAAACTTTGGGTAAACACTTGAAGTTCAAATTAATGAAATTACGTTCAAATTATCTTTTCTGAAAAAGGTATTAAACTCATAGGAGGAGGAGGGAGAGGGGGAAGCCTCCATCACCCTCTGGAAAAACATATATCCACGAAGGAAACTAAATATCCTGGATTTGTAGGGTCAGGACATGTTTATGTCTATCTAAATGTCTATTCAAATACACTAAAACATTTTATAATGTAAAGTATCCTATAGTAGAATTCACATGTTAGCACCTTCATGATTAAATCTCAAATCACAACTTGGTTTATATTCCCATTAAATTGTTAAAATACTGTACAGTGAGAGCCATAAAACTGTGGAATAGAAAGACAGATGTACACAGACCCATTTACCTTTATAAATTGATTTTCATTCTTTTTGTAAAACTTTAAAAACATAGATTGATAAAATGTCGTCTTCCTATTCCTCAATTCACGGGTCTTAGTGTATGAAAAAATGTACAGGGTATCCCACGAAACATATTTTTTAAGTCTTATTCTACATACTGTATTAGATATTAAAGACTTATTCAGTTTATTTCTTTAAAAAAATGTTAAACTCATTTATATTTTACTGTGAAATCAATTTTACTATAATATAATAAATAATAAAAAATGTTATTAGTCTCTTTAGTATCAACTTATCAAATTATGGAAGAAGACATATATATACCAACTGTAATGTTTCGTGGGACACCCTGTATTTAAAGTAAATAAATACAAGGCATAAGAGTACTTGCCTACTTACAATAATGACGTTTGTAACCAAAATTACATGATGAAATTAAGTTATAAGTTTCGCAATATGTTCCGTAAATGCAAAAACTTACTTTGGTAAAAAAATGTTGAGCTATCTCTAACTTTATTCCCATAATTGCTTTTAGTACGTTTGGTATCAATATTGATATATTAGAGTTTTTTTAATAGTGTAGTCGATCGGTCAAAAAAATTTCAATACAGCATAAAATATCAATTTTTAAATAAAACATTTTTAGGAGAAAAGCCGTACAATTGCCAGTGGCCAGATTGCAATAATCAATTTGCAAGGTTAGTTGGTTGGATATAAATACAAATGTATGTTTATAATTACTTTTTAAATGGAGTTTTTAACTTTGGTTTAGAAAAATTAGCATCGATTTTTGTGTGAGAAATTGTAACCTTTGGACCAGAAAACTGTGACTTGTTGACCTGATATTTGCCGGTCATCCCCTTTAAAGGGACTGTAAGCGTCATTTTAAGTTACAACCATTGAAAGAGGGCCATCCTAGATTTACAATGGTACCCTTTCTCTGATCAAGCATGAATAATATATTAATGTTTGTAAATTCGAAAGCTGGTTATTTCGAATTGTGGTTTCTCTAAAAAAGTGACTGTGCACAATTCTTCTGTAGGAAAACAAAAGCGAAATCTTCCGCAGTATTGATCAGATTAAGGTTTCGATGGTACCGTTGTTATTCTGGCATTGTCCTCTTTTCAGAAATGTTTACTTAGAATTACGCTTACAATCCTTTTCAGCCAGATGATTAAAAGTAATTTTAAAACTATTTTCCCTGTAATGCTAAAGGTTAGAGATTAATTTTTGCAACGAGTGAATCATGACTCTTGTGGAATTTTTGAGAATAAAACTCACTAATGGAGAAATATCACAAATAATTGAAATTTCAAAGCAAAAAAAAATCTTTTTTTTTAAATCTCAAACCTTTTTATTAACTACGCTTAAAGAAATCTTACATAATTTTAATGGATTAAAGGTGAATTTCTTTTAAAATTTTTTGCTTTTAGGTCCGATGAACTAACCCGGCATTATAGAAAGCACACCGGAGCAAAACCGTTCAAGTGTAAAGTCTGTGATCGAAGCTTTGCCCGAAGTGATCATTTAGCCCTGCACATGAAGAGACATATGCCAAAACACGTTAAAATGTCGTGAATCTGCAGTTCAAACTAAAACTTGGTGCTACAACTACTATTCAAACAAAAATAAACCCCTGTGATTCTTTGTTGCTATTTTATGAAAAATTTCGTAAAGTGCGTTATCTTCTGCTTTAAGTTTTATTGCCAAAGGTTGCTGGTTTTTATTGAAATTATATCTTTTGTTTAAAAAAGTGCCATATCAAGGAAATTCCCTTTTGCCCACCTCAAGCCCTTGAGAAAATGGTACAAAATATATATTTGGAGGACTGATACTTCAAAATCAGTTGTGATTTAAGATACACCCTATGGTTGGTGCGTGGAAGACCATCATTATCGTTTTTCATTCAAACAGAAGTCTTCATTCTATAATTTCTATGGTTGGGTTTGAAATTGTAGATATTTTTTTTTCTATGAAATACTATAAGTCAACATATTTTTAAATGCAACTTTTAAAATCTACACAATATTCTTACTCTTTAAGAGTTCTATACTAACAAAACTAGTCCAAGTCGTAATTTTTTTAAATATATTTCTACAGGGTGTCCCAATAAACATGGACATTCAATGATTTTGATATCGTCTTTGTAAATATTTTTATTGATTTACTATGGTGATGCCTTATTAAAAATCTGTACTCCGTAGATGTTTTGTCTGCTTTTACTTATGTTTTGATTGCATACTTTGTACTTAAAAAAATGAGAAATTCCCGGTTACGAATACAATTGGTCCTCTTCACTGTTCAGGTTACAAAAAAATCATACAACGTTTTGCAGAAGAACAACGCAGTCTCTTTACCGTTTACATAAAACATACTCAAGCAGACGTAATTTTTTTACCATTGAATTTAGGTAATACAACGCTAATTCTTAACAAAGAAGATTTCGTATTCGTCTCTTTATTCCCATGTTTATTGGAACACCCTGTAATATTGTCATTCAATCCAATTCTAGTTCACAACACGAGTCAGCACATAGGATGCACATCAGCCGTACACCTTACAATGTACTGTCCCGCCATGAACTGTACTGTTTTACCGGTACATTGTAAATTCTTCTTGAAGTATAGAAGATGAACGCGCGGCAAAATTTAATAATTCTGAAAAAAAAATCTGAAGGTTTAAAAATTTTAGAAAAAGTAATTATTAACAATATGCAGTTTAATAATGGAGTTTGAAAGTATGTTACTATAACTATAATTATCTTAATCAGGAAATTTTCATTCAAATAGTTAAAAGTTTTTTTCAGTTTATGATTTTCAACGAAACTCTCCTAAACAATTGGGTCAGATTTTCAGTTGTCAGTGCCATTCATCTCTTATTTTTGTTTAAAAAACAATGTTTTTGTCTATTTCAAATGTCCTTAAAATTGTATGAAAGAATTTATAAAATTTTTCAAATGAATACAAAGTATGTTGCATGCCATATCAAATAGAATAGATTTATAATTATGTAAAATTATTTCTTTCTTTTAAAATGTAAAAAATAGTTTATTTTTCTCTAAACGTTGTCAACTGTTGCTTCCATCTTGTAAAAATCAAAAATCATAAAACTTGATTCTATTTCGTCGAATTTATCGAAGTTAATAAAAAGGCGTTATTCTGTTGTATCGGCTGTATAAACAATTTCCAAGTCTAATTTCATTCTTCTTAGAATCGATCACAAATTACTGTTTCGTGTCCTAGCACTATTTTTGCTCCGTCCAATCAATGCAGATACAAGGCACTTTTTTTGGAAGACGCCATTTTTTCCTCAGAACAGCTGACTACAGCTGATTTGGCGGGAATCATTCATGCGGAACAAAAATGTGCGAAACCACAATTTATCATTTTTGTATAACAATTGTGAATCAATGACGTTTAACTTTTTGTAAACATGTTTAAATATTACAATGTGTGATAATATTGAAATAGTATATACTTATATAGTCATCTCTCCATATTATATACAATTGTTTCAAGGCACAAAAGCTTTAATATAAAATTATTTTAAATATATATTTCCGGCAGTGACCTTTCCTTTCTTTTCGTTTGATGTGATTTACCCTTTAAGGTATTAACAATAATACAGGGAAGATTTATCGCAAAATTCATAAAAAAATATTCTTGTTCTACTGATTTATTTTATACTAGCTAAAGTGCCAGTGAAATTTTAAAAAATCTAATTTTGAAAGTAAAAAATAAAATAAATTGAATTACATTGAAAAAAAATTCATACTCTTTAGCCTATGTTACCCCTAGGATACCCATGGGTTCCCTCAAAGAATGTCAGACCATTCGGTCTATCCGTTTGGCCAGCTAACGCTGACATATATATATATATGAGCGAAGAGATTTACTATGTAGAGCTAATATCTTTCAGGAGGAAATTTAAAATATGAAAAAGAGTTTAATCGAAACAAAATTGACTAGGATAATGCACCACTATGCAAATTCAGAAGGACATGTAATTAGCTGAAAGAAAACTCTGAGCCATACAAAACTGAACTAAGTTATAGCTTTGGCATTCTTTTTTCAGTTCAGACAAAATTAAGATTTTTTTATGAATAACTTGTCTATGGAATTCCATAAATTAAATTTTACCCTGCTGGCCTTTACAGGGAATAAAGGGAGTGTTTGCTAAAAGTGAATTGGGGGAATTTTTGGAATATATGGTATCAATAATCTATTTTTATCTGATGTTTGAGTAACATGAAAATTGTAAGAATCCAGTGAGATCCCCCATTTGGTATATTTTATTTAAAACTAAATTTTTTTTTAACGTTTTGTTTATTTAACGTTCAGTTAAACAGAACGGTTCTTTCTGTTTGTCAACGAAATTTCCCATTTATAAAAAAACTGTAGCCAATTTCTAGGGCATACTCTACTTCCACTAAATTTTTTATAATTCCATTCTTCATATGTCAGTGGCACTGCTAACTATGCAGAAGGAGAAGGTAAAATACATGAATATCCCTGGTACGAGTTTACGACCTCGTAGCTCCTCCAGCTGGATTTGTTTTGATGAGATAAGGAGATGTATCCAGTTGTATATTAGAATTAAAAACTTACCGAATCTTTAAAATTAGGATTGAAAACATATTAGATTTCAATCTTATGTGCAATTTACTTTATAGTTTGACATAATGTTTTAAACATACCTTATAATTTCTTCAAACTTTTTAGTAATTATTGATTTTAGGGGGGTAGGGGGTCATAACCCCCCCACCACCACCACCACTATCAAAATATTGTATGTCAGGGTAATGTCATGAATATCTAAAATAACCGCACTGTTACTGTTGCTCTCAAAAGAAAATCAGAATAAGAACTAACAAATAAGATTTAAATGTCAAGTCCAGGCCTGTATTGTGTACTCTGTATACTAGGCATAATTCAGGCATAATTCAGGCATAATTTGCATTGTAATCCTGAATAGTGGAGAACCATATATTTACGAGTATAACTATAGGATACTTTGAATTTAACATAATTTTCTTCATCATTTACTTCATACCCCGGCCTATAAGAAATTTAAAAAAAAAATTTTTTGTTGTGTTAAGGATTAAAGTTTTGTTGCATAGGTTGTTTTTCAGTTTTCTTTTCTTTTAAACTTTTATTGTTTTCATATATGGACATTATACTGATAACAAAATAATATATAGGACATTTCATAGATGGACATTTTACTAATAATAAAATAATGTATAGGACATTTCATAGATGGACATTATACTGTTAACAAAATAATATATAGGATATTTCATAGATGGACATTTTACTGATATAAAAATAATATATAGGATATTTCATAGATGCATGACATTTTACTGATAACAAAATAATATATAGGACACTACATAGATAGACATTTTACTGATAACAAAATAATATATAAGACACTACATAGATAATCATTTTACTGATATCAAAATAATAGATAGGACATTTCATAGATGGACATTTTACTGATATCAAAATAATATATAGGACACTACATAGATAGACATTTTACTGATAACAAAATAATATATAGGACACTACATAGATAGACATTTTACTGATAACAAAATAATATATAGGGCACTACATAGATAGACATTTTACTGATAACAAAATGATATATAGGACACTATAAGATAGACATTTTACTGATATCAAAATAATATTTTTTTAAGATCTAGATATTTATTATCTCCGTATCGAGATTATTTAAATTGTACAAAATAGTTTACATGAGTTAAATAATAAAGTTTTACAACAAACTCGTTTACATATTTTTGAGAGAGTTATATAAGAGTTAATTTACGGATACATTTTTAAATTAAAATTTGGAATCAAGGCTACTTGGATTATGCAAAATATAAAAATTGAGAAGTGTACCAATGAAATGGTAGAACATTAAATGCATGTAATAAGTTATTGACAAGAAAAGTGTATGCGGATTGAATAGAAATTTCTTGAGACATCTTGGTTTCTCGGCGGTGAGGTTTGTCGGTTCAGGAGGCGTTACAGTTTTCTCAGACTGAATCAGTAAAAAAAAATCATTAGTTATTTTGAGAGAAAATTCCGAGTGAGAAGGAAAATTCAGATCTTAGCTCACGTCCTCTTAATTTAAAGATCATTTTCTGAACGTTATCAATAGAGATTTATTAATTAAAACAAATTATTTATAGGAACTAGATTGCAAAGGAAAAAACTCCGATCGGATAGATAAGATCTGTGTGTGGTCATTTTAATACGACTCGATTAAACTGTGAGTTTTTATTCCTTAATTTTTTACGGAAGTAATTTTTTACAGTAATGTCGTTTAGTTTTTTGTTTGCAGTAGTAAACTTTTATATCCGAAGTATCAAATTAAAGGATAAAAGATAAAAAAATAATTTTTCAAAATAATAGATAGGACATTTCATAGATGGACATTTTACTGATATCAAAATAATATATAGGACATTTCATATATGAAGACATTTCAATGTCATATCCTTAAAGAGAAATGTCCTATTCCTATCCTTATAGAGAAAGGTCCTGTCTACGAAATATCTTGTCTATATAATGTCCTGTCTATGAAATGTCCATGTATGAAATGTTCTTCTATAAAATGTCTCAACACCATGTCTTGTTTTCAATATATCTTTTTCCAATTAAAAGAATTATTTTCTTAATTTTCATCTTGAGTCCCCCCTTACATACATCCTATCGTTGATATGCATATATAATTGTATGTCTGTGGACTCACATTATCATATTTTAATATTAACACTCGTGTCATATTCAAATACACGATACATGAGATACAAGGATACAGGGATACAGGGATACAGGGATACAGGGATACAGGGATACAGGGATACAGGGATACAGGGATACAGGGATACAGGGATACAGGGATACAGGG